TGACCCTTGAGGAACTGCGACAAGTTGGCTCGCGTGCGTATGTGTCCTCTCCAGAGATTTAGGTAATCGCGTGTGGAAAGTCATCGCGTGGGCACAACCACCGCGAAGGCATATGACCTTGAAGGCAGTCCTCATTAACAAAGGAATTATTGTGGCAGTCGGTGGTAAGCAGGACTCCTCAGGAGTACCTGCAATGTTGCTAGCATTTGGTCGGGCTAGATTTCTAACACTAAAACGATTAATCATACCTACTAATACCAATAAGACAAACCCTAATGTGTACATGTTACATGTTACATGCGGTTACCTCTGATGAATAGTAACAGAATCCGAAGCGTCAGACAAATAAACTTTTTCGTTCCAGCGATCGCATCTTCCACTTCTGAAATACCACTGATCCTGATAGTTCGATCATCGATTTCGATGATGTCCACCAGGTAGTCCAACATATTGGTGCGGGGAAAATTACTGGCGTCGCACACCATCTACCACACCATACACCCGCGTGGTTTGGTGTCAAGACGACCGATACTTACGGAAGATCGGGGGGTTAGCTGCCTTCTCAAATGCAGGTTAGAACACTACATGATTCGTAGACTTTTGCGCCAGAGCTACCGTACTAACTACCCTCACTCACCTGCAGCTGATATCAGAACAGAGTCAAGAAGACCGAGAATGAGGGGGATAGGGTGCTTGTACCATTAATCATACTAAGTAGTACCGGTACATAAAACATCGTGATACAAATGCCATAATGTAGAGGATAAACAGATAAATTCAACGAAACAGTATCCAACTTACCAAGGGGTCAATTACCTTGAAGGCAACTGCGTGCCTCAAGGCGGATCCTCATCTCGGAGATAGCGAGGCGATGATTGGCCTATCCGTAGATCGGCCTAATTCAGTGGGAACTTCCGTAACTAATCGTTGACATGCGTAGATGGTTTTCGGTAGGTGTATTGACATTCCATAGTATGTGACGTTAATCTATATTGACGAGACTGTGGGTGAAGAGAATACCGATGAGGAACGACATAATTATGTGGTGTAGCGAATGACATTTTACTATAGATTTTCATGAAGGTGCACGTGGCCTTATAGACCGTTGCGATGGGTGAATGTGCGTGGGCAGTGAGGGCGAGTGCCGCGACTGTATTTCGGGTCCCAGGCGCTCGTTCCCCACTCTCTTTGCGATGGATTTGCAAGTGATCGATCAGGCCGTTGCGTGAGGTGAATGTGCGATTACAGGGAGGATAGGATACATCGGTGGGTGTTTGAGTTGCAGAGCTGGTGTTGATAGAGTTGGTGGCGCACATGCCGGTGGAAGTGGTGGGACTCGAGGTTGTGATGAGTGTGCTGGATTTGCCGGCTGTACCGACATCTTTGTCAGGCAGATCGGTCCTGCACGAGTTCCTCCCAGGTTGTCGCGTTCAGTTAAAGGCAATATAAGAGGCTTCTCAGAATTTATTTTTAGCTCCTCTTTTCTTCTCCTTGTCCGCGAGCACCCACAGAGAAATCACCGTAAAACAGTCATTTGGGTAGTTGTGGGTCATCCATCCCTATCAGGTGGCCACTCCAACACAGTTGTATCTACCATAGCATGAAATGGATGTCGAGAATTTCCGTCCTGCAAAGGCTTCCCTGTCCAGAATCCTATTCTCGCATCTCAACTTCAGTATTCGACGGAGACAGCTGATATAGAAATGGTTCAGCTTCCAAGCATGACTGTCGCAGACTGTCCAGGTTTCTGCTCCTTACCAAGATGCGGTGAGGAAGAGGCCTTGTAAATCTTCAGTTTTTCGGCCAGCTGGAGGCCATGACAGTTCCACAAGGAGGCTTGAAGTCAGCTAAAGGCTTTACTGGCATTAAAGGTCTGTTGAGAAATATCTCCGTCAATACTGGTGTGGCGAGATAACGTGCTAACAAGATAGGCAAAGTTGTCTACATTATTGAGCTCGGCGCCGATTATATTGGTCCGTGGAGCATTGCAATTAACTCTGTACTACGTTTGATGTATGGGCCCCGTTTTATCCGTGTTGGTGGTAAGAACGAACTTCGCGCAGCCGGTGGCGAGGAGTTGTATACTTCTTTGCATGTCCACTTCTATTGTGGTCTTACGAACGCAGTCTTCCGCGAAAAGCATCCCGTCGTGGTGGGGATGTACCACGTGGATGAAATACTCATGAAAACAAAATTTCTGCGTGATCTTCCACAGCCCTTTGCAAATCACCTTGTTGAATGCTTTTTTCAGGTCATGAAGGTACTTAAGACGTAGGTACGCAGCTCTTGGCACTTCTCCTGTAGCCGTCGCGTGACGATAATAATGTTAGTTGTGTCGCGAAGATGACGAAAAACACACTGGCTCACTGGCAGGAGTCCTTGTTCCAGTTGGCTGTTACGGTGGTTTAAGAGAACACGAGCGAAGATGTTTCTGGCTATATTAGGCAGTGAAATTTCACAATGATTGTCACGGAGTTAGCGGTTTCCCTTAGGCTTTTAGAGGTGGACGAGTGTGGTGTCTTTGACGTCCTGAGTGCTTTAAGTCACTTTAAGTCACTTTATTAAGGGAAGAAGGCTTTCGCCCT